AACAGCAGGCAGTTGTGTTTTTCTGCTTTTGTTAAAAAAAAAACTAGAGTTTGAGTTTATTTACAGGATAATGTGGTTGTGGTTTCATCAGAAATTTTAACATACTAATTGAAATACCCAAATTCTGTGATCAGCTTAGATATTTATGAGTGAAGACAAGAAAATGTCCCGTTTGTACTATTATACTGTGCAGCTGACATTCCAATCACACACTCTATATTAACTGGTTAAGAGAGGAATGTGGAAAATAGGAATATCTTTTAATATATTGCAGATTGAACAGCAATAGATCTTACCTACTTATTCATGTTCAGTTTTTTGACACTTGTTAATGTGTCAGTGTGGATTGTCATAGATGTTTCTGTGAAAAATAAAATCCTCAGTGAAAACTTGTGAGCTTTGTCAAGTAATGTAAATGAATAAATATGAATTTCAGTTATAGTTAGTGCAGTTTTATTTGGGTGTTGGAAACATTAGTCATCCATTCACCTCTCACGTGGAGGACTAACAGAGATGTGGCCATGGGCTGATAGCCTCTACAAGATAAATCAGCTTTATCCATATCTTCATTGATAGGTTATGGGTTATTATTATAGGTGTGTTGGCTACTCTGTAGCACATAGGCCTGATTAAAACAAGAAAATGTGATTCCTGCATTGTTACTGTTGTCTGCTTAGTCTTACTCCTGTGATACAAACTCTACTGGTAGCTGTAGGAAAGCCAACTGATTGTCATTTGAGGACAAGTTTATGCCTTCACTTAATCTGACTATAGTTAGATAAATATTTTTCTCAAATATCATCATAGGCTCTAAATTTATTTGAACAACACAAAGTGGTTTAGTGATAGATCAGACATAAAGCTGCTCTGGCTGAATATAAGTACTTTGTCAGCATTATAGCAGAACTAACCTTATTGAAGTTAGGGCTACTGTACTTTATTATGAAATAATATATTTTGACTCTATTAAAACTTTCAGAACACATAGCCCTGTGGTTGATTACTTGTAGCGGAGCCACTGACAGTTACAATGTGGTGGGGCTTAGTTTTGTAAAGCAATGACTGTCACCAAACAGTTTTTACTGACAGTAAATACTAAAAACCATTGTTACCATGGGAACATACAATTTCAAAGATGCATTAACACATCTGCACGGGTCTATGAGTGTCCAAATACATGCATACATGAAAGATGTTCTACTGTTGGTAACTTTAGTTTTTATAATTAACTCGCTGAGAGGGGTGCCTTTTTTCTTGGCTTGAGCACCTGCCTCCCAAAATGTCTGTGCACAGCCCTGAATGTAAGTTCACAGACTTCTCATTGTAAAACGAATAAAACATTAAAAGAGTGAAAATGGAGTTTTCAGCCCATTTGTCATGAGCTTTAGCTAAGCATTGAAGGTACAGATAACATCTGCTGCCAAGTGACTGTCTCCACTAACAGAATCCACTGTTGTCAGCTAGAAATGAAGAAGCCTGCTTTTGTCTACTTATGTGTGAAACTGAAGACCCATTGTTTCAAAAAAAATTACAGTAGAGTTTGAGCGGTAAATCATTGTGCCGAGAGACTGACAGGTAGAGTAACTAAAGCGCGCCTCTTCTACATGCTGCTTTTTATCCTTTTCACAAACTTTATTCCTGTCTTCCTCTTTAAATGTGCAATGCAGAGTAGCTGCTGCATTAACCTCCCAGTCACCTCCCAGGCTCATTTCTTTCATTGACTCTGCACTATAATGGCTATAGTGAGGTACCGAGCACAGATGGTGAACAATGTGAAACAATGGGGACCAACCAGGCTTATGGCCAACTACTGCTCTTTGTGCCGGCAGGTAAACAGTTTGGAAAGTGATGTGGAATGACAACAGGCCAACATGACAAACACAGTAATCTTCTGATGACCAGATCATTGAACAAAGATGTTTGTTTACATCTTGCCTCATGCAGAAAACAAACCATTGTTTTGGAAAGTAAAAAAAAAAAGGCCTAATCTGCAAAGGAGCATGTGATTTCAGTTGAAGTGCTCCAGCGTTTATTCTGCAATTTGTATTGTGGTCAGGTATGTGAAAAAGGGGGCTAAAATGGATTTTATTGCCTATGCTTTCAGAAGTGATGAAATGGTTCACCACACACTCTGACGAGTTGAGGTTATTATGACCATCAGTTCATTTTCTTTTCTCCTTGGGAACACTGGGCCATATTGTAGTGCATCTGAGCATTGTTTGGACTGATCTATGATTAGTCACTGTCCAAGCTCAGCTGCACATCCAGTGGAAATGGTGAGTGACAAATCTGTGGTGGAAATTTGTTTGACATGCTTGTCAAAAATGGTAATGTTGTTTTCAAAGAGGATGTATGTAATGTATGTATGTTGATCAGAATGAGCCATAAAATTAAACAATGTAAATGTGAAATGTAAGTTTGAGCAGAAAATCTCTTGGGCTTTTGTATGGAAAAAGTACAGAATAGCCAACCTCCCTAGCACTTAATGAATGCTTGACTGAGTGGAGCAATTACAGGGGATAGCTCCATTAAGCCATTTACATTTGCTGAAAGTTAGATACCCTTTAATTTGCTCTATTTGGAAAGCTTCAGAAAAATAGACATACATTATGGAAATAAACCAGCTGCATGCAGATGTACTGGAAGTGTTAAAATCTCTGTAGTGTGGACATGTTGGCTGTATTCTACATTGTTTGCTGAATATCTCCTGATGGTTCACTGGCTCATACAGTATACCTCGTGGCAACATTTGAACCAGATACAAAGCTTTAATCCTGATCTGTTGACTGTTGGGAACCAGTAAAGCACACAGTTCTTGCAGATCTACAGGTCTGCACAGGATGACAGTGCCCCCATCCATAGGACACAAAGGATCAGTGACTGTTTGTGTATCATATGCTATGGCGTTCACAGCCACCAGATCTCAACCCAATTGAATACCTATGGTAGTCCAAAATGCTGCTGCTCGTCTATTGGTTGGAGGGCGTAAAAGTGACCACATCACACCCATTTTGGCTTCCCTGCATTGGCTGCCGGTGTGTTTTAGAATCCATTTTAAGATTCTTTTATTTGTTTTGAAATCTTTAAATGGTTTGGCCCCCTTTTATCTTACAGAATTGCTACATCCCTATAGCCCCTCTTGGTGCCTCAGATCGGCTAATCAGCTGCTCTTGGAGGTACCGAGGGCTAGGCAAAGATCTAAGGGGGACAGAGCTTTTTCTGTGGGGGCGCCTAAGTTGTGGAATGCATTGCCCCTTTATATTAGACAGGCCCCCTCGTTGTCCACTTTTAAAACCTATTTGAAGACTCATTTGTACCGTTTGGCGTTCAAACCAGTATGATCCTGTGTCTTGTTGAGCTTGTGATTTATGATAGGGGGTTGTTTTAAGTATGATATTTTTGTTTTGCTGTTCGTTTATGTTGTTTTTTAAGGGGTGTTGTGGATATTGTGTTAAGCACTTTGGTCAGCTTCGGCTGTGTTAAATGTGCTATATAAATAAAGTTGATGATGATGATGATGGTAGGGCTTTTTGACCAATAAAGAACCGGTTCAGTTCTCACTCACAAACTAAGTTTTGTTTGGTTCTTTGTTACCAAGACAGAACTGGTTGACTTTTATAGTCCATGCCAAGGCACACTGAAGCTGTACTAACCTTACTGTGATCTGTATGAAGAATAATTTGATCACAGACAGTATAGCAGTTTAGATGAGCTCTAACTTCTGGTACATTCCATGCTTACTCATCAAATACTGTAAATCCAAATTGACACATTTTTGTGACATGAGCCGATACAGGCGGTAGCTTTGAAACACACCCCTATCAGTAGATAAAGCAAAACTACAGTACATGCATAGCTAGACACCATTAAGGATGAGTGTTTTTTGTGAACTGACTATTCCCATTTTCAATTAAAATCCAAAATCTAGTTCTCAACAATAAGTCCTGTGCACAGCTTCACCACTTGCACATATCCATGTTTTATTGCTAAACATCATCTTCAAGTAATCCTCATTACTTCACTCAAATTTTTTGTTAAGGTATCTAAAGTTGGAGATTCTTGTCAGACACATAATGTAACTAGGTGACAGCAGTTTGAGGGGCTTATCTGACACTAGACTGTGATTTAATTACTCTGTGCAGGAAGTGTCAAGTGTTACCTAAATGCTTCTGAGGCAGGCAGGTGGCAGGTGTTATGATGAAAACATAGAAATGCTGACAGTATAACAGCGATTTATTGTGCACAGCTGATTACAGCACGTGCAGTCCCTCAGGATGGGCCTGTTTCACACTCAGAAACCTCCTGATATGCTGTTTATGGTATTGTGCATGACCTCACTCAGATGAGTCCATCAAGAATGACTATAAAGTGCTGTCACATTAAAAAGCAGCCTGAAAATTGACTTAGGTGGGATAAAAAAAAAATAGTTGCAAAGGCAGCATATTCACAACTCTCAGCTTGGTATGATGATATTGTTACAGCAGACAAGCCCCCTTATCTACTGTTAGCCATATCTTTACAACAGCTCCAAACAACACATTTTAGTACCCCTTGTCCAGCTCTTCATAGCATTTTTACACAGTGTGAAATCTATAAGATGCCTATAGTATCATGGATGATTTATGTATTGACAATGTACAAGACATTTACAGGTTCAGTTGTTTTGTTCAGCAAACAAAAAGATGGTTTCCATGTCCTATGCAGGCAGTGATGGATGAATTTATTCAGGCAAATTCTGAATGTGCTTTCAAGGAAATTATATTCAGCACCGATAGACTGTTGGATTATAAACTCCTCAGCGGAGGTGATTAAAAGCACTTTTCAGTCTTGAAAGAATCTTTTTATTCCTTTTAGCATAATGTCAGCCAAGAAAATGATCTGAATTTTTCCATCTCTTTTTCCCTGACTTTTTTTCTTGTGCTTTTCAGGAATATCTTAGGTACTCCGGTGTCAAACTCATCCCAAATTTATTGCCTATTCTTTTTCTCATTTGCTATTAGAGACAGGCCAATCAGAATGCACAGCCTTGGAAGGAGGGGACAGAAGCAGACAGAGGAGGGTGCATTAAAGACTTGAAGTGCTTGGGATAAATAATCATATTTCTATGCACCCACAATGCTGGAAAAGCACCATCTGGGACAGGCTGTGGATTTGCATTACAATATAAATGGGAAGTTGCTGGAGCTGAAAAGGTGATGCGAAGTCACTCAGCTACCCCCTCACTCTCTGACAGGTCACATCTCCCTCCTCACACCAGGTAGCAGGCAGACGCAAGTCACTTTGTTGGTGCACGGTATGCTGTGTACTCTTGTCACTCGACTGCGCACCCTCCACCTCATCTCTCTTTTTTTCTTTTTCTTTTTTTGAACAATCTCCTCAGCTAGAGTAGCCTGATAGCGTATGCACTAGTGGCTTCACTTTCAGATGTGGCTTCACTGAACCTTTAGAGCTCAGTTCATATACAAGTAGGTGCAGAGGAGATGAGGAGACAAGCAAAGAGGAGCTGGTGTGAGAGGTGATGCTGGTGGCACAATAAAACCGCTATATAACCTGATTGTGATTGTGTGATTTATACATAACTTTCTATCCTTTAAATGTTCCTGCTCAACAGCAATATTGTCAGTCAACGAGGCATGCAAATGCATTTCCACAATTAAAATTTTGAAAGCTAAAGGGCACGAGTAACTTATGCTTGTTTTGTCTTTTATTTTGCAGTTGTTTCCACCTTTAAGCCTTCTGTTCATTTACATTTTAAAAAGTGTTTGCAAGACTGAGCCTCACAGGTCGAGGTTTCTCATTCTGACAGTATGCAAACAGAATTTTAATACTTCATGGAAGTTGGCACCACTTTGCATGGCAGCGCAACGTTGGCAGGAGACGGCTGCAGATAGGCATCGTGTTCAAATGACTGAGTCTGGTGTGGTCTGGCTCTGAGGATGCACTGTGATGCTGAAATAGTTTAAGTTGTATACAGCTTTACCAGAACACCATCAGTCCTACCCAAATTATGAGGTTTATAGAAGGAGTTTAATTTTGACACTCTACAATTGTTCAGTTTTTCCCCCATAATGGTTGTTACTCCTGCTTGTCTAATCCAATATTCAAGCAATATGATTTAGAAACTTTAAATTCACACATTTTGACAACGTACAAGATGCTCCTGTTTCCCCTGTTATGAAGAACACAATGTCAGTGGCTTTCTCACACTCGACACAAGTCTAGAGAGTCACATGAAATATGCATGTGTGTGTTTACTAAACGAAGCGCCATTAACCACAGAATAGATTAACTCCAAAAAAACTAAAGGGAAGGCACACAATAAAACTGCTATATAATCTGCTATATACAGGTCTCTGTAAAATGCTTCAGTGTTTATATCTCCTTGATACTCGGTGGCCTGCTGTTGCTTTTAGCACCCTTACGAAGTAGGTGATTGCATAGTGGCAAATTACAGCACTACAAAAACTGACACATGAAAATGATTCATAAGTCAATAAGGAGAACAATGAATTGGAGCAGATGCTGTGGAAAGAATATCACATGAGGCAGTCGGTGTTGGATTTCCCATTAGGCTCTGACTAATTTCTTTCAAAAATGGAGGACTAAGACTTGTGGTTGTCTTGAGCTGAGTCCCCATTGTACAAAGACAAGACCGGCAAAAAAAAGATGTTCAGTAAGTGGATTTTAGGGTAGCTCTAAAAAACATTTACAGATTAGCACTGACAAATATTTAGCACAGATACCTGCTCATGACATTATCTGCCATATTTATCCATCCCCTGCCCCCTTTGGTCAGTGGTAAGTCCTGAAGCCTCATTGATCATACAGTATATTGTTGATAATTTGTACCTGCCCTTTAAACATAAACATGTTTTGAGACTTTCCCACAGGAGGCCAGTGTTTCATTCTGGTCTAAAATGTATTTTTTATCCATGAACATACGGACAGTGTCGCACACAACCACAGAGACAGTCCCCTTGTAGAAAAGGTCCATATGATGTTTGTGCGGTTTGTTAGAACCAGCAGCAATCGAGTGCTGTTGGGATGATGCATTTTTGTAGGTCAGTCCAGAAATTAGTGTCATCCTGGTTCCTTCCACAAAAAAACCAATTGTTTTTTTCATAAGCTTTTGGATTATAGCAGAAAGCAAGCTCTGTGACAAACAAGTTTATGACACTTATACGTTTTGTTCAGTGAGATAATCTTCACAAGTAAATACCACTTTTGTTTTTGAAGACTGTATTTATATTACAATGTGCTCTCTGTGTATGTTTATCACACCTTATCTTAATGTTCTAGTACTTATTTGATTTTACCCCTTAGAAATACATTTTTATTTTATATTCTTTTGAAGTGCGCCGTTGTTGGCAGAGCACCCACAATTTTGTTGTGCTCCTATTGTCCAATAACAATAAAGTTTATTGTTTAATTCACTTTTTTTGAATTTTGAAGCCCAGATAAGATTACCAGAGGTAAACAAACTAATTACACCACAGTCCCAGAACTCCATGTCACCGCCACTAAGTTAGTAATATGATTTAGCACACTTGCCTCTTCTGCAAAATCTTTTCCTTTTAGCGTGACCTGATCTAGCGCTGTCAGTTAGAATAGTTTGTAAAGGCAGATTAGTGAGGAGATGAGTTTCTTGTTTGGCTCGATGACCTTTAGTGTCTCAGACAACCTAGTCTCATTTAGCCACTTGTTAGTTGCCACATAATGAAAATGGGGGGTATTCACTGATGTATCTTATTTGTAAGGGACCATATAAAATACCAAACATAAATGTTGCCATTTGATGTATTGTATTGTACTAGATTTAACTGCAGTCCCTTGGCAGGTCACAATTTAAAAATGTACAGTAATCACATGACACAACAAACTAGTATATATCAACATAACCAGAAGCCAAGATGATTACACACAAAGCACAACCAGCAAAGCTTAAAATCAATGAGTACCTAAATGTGGTGTGATGAAAGAGTACAGTACAGTCTCTTACTGAAAATATCCTCAGTATTTTACAGAATGCTTTGAGCAGTCACACAGCACAGGAGGAGCCAAACCCTTTAGAACTTTGTACACAAGACAGAATATAATCTGAAATTTTTATCACTAGGAGGGTGATGATAGAGTGATGATACTGCATAGTTTTTTTATCTCATGTTTTTAGTTTGTTTATACAAAAATCATCATAGCAGGCATTAAGTTCTTACAGTATCTGCATCCATAGATAAACAACTTTTAATTTACCTAAAATGTTGCTTCATCTAAGAGAACATATGGTGTTCTTGGTCAAGCTACTGCGATGATTACTTGGTTATTTTATTGCCAATGATCCAAACTATTTTCTTTAAGGATCAGGAACCAGAAAAGGACCGTGTTCCCCAGCTTTAATGAAACTGAATAGTGGAGTCCTGGGCTCAGGTATAAAGGTGACACCAGTGACTTTTTCCAATCTATTCACTTTGTTGGTTTGCAGCTGTGCAGACCTTTCACTCAACTGTCCCATTGTTTTCTGCTGTGAATCCCACAAAGTTCCACCATTCAAAAAAGAAAAAGACTGGATAATAGCAGCCTTTGTTGGATGTGGCTTTGAAATATCACTTTTTAATGGATGCCATTTGAGAAGTGCAGTTGCTGTTAAATTTGAATAAAATGAGATAAACCTTGTGTGGAGAGATAATACTCATTAAAATAAACCTGTTCTACACTCAAGGGGTGATACATGCGTTCAACCTTTTACCAAAAGAAAATTGCAAGAATGAAAGGGGGGGAAGCAAGGGCGCTGAAAATCAAAATAATGAAAGAACAATTATTGTTTCATCTTTCAGAGCATTAAAAGCATAGACCCGCCTTGCTTCATCCCTTCTCCTCTGGCTAATTTTCCATAATGTCTGCAATGACTGTAGACAACTCAGACGGCTTTTTTATTTATTTATTTATTTATTTTTTACCTGCCACCTATCCAAGGTATGTTTTCTTCTCTTGTACTAGTTCAAACAGGCAAAGCAGAATGAAAGTAAAAAAAAAAAAAAAAACACACACACAGTCCACGCAATGTGTATTGTTGTTTAGTCGGATTGTGGGGACCTGAAGGTTAGGCAAGTAGCGGTTATGGTTAAGGTTAGGGTGTGTCTCCAGGGAATGAATGTACATCAATATAATGTCTCCTGAAGTGATGGAAAAACAATGTGTGTGTGAGCAGACAGTTCCTGAGAATTTATGAATAAAACCCAAGCTATGATCAAAATCTATTTAAACTATGATTAATACTACATGTTGAAATTTCATATTATAAAAGCTACTTCCTGTAATATAGACCAATAAAAAATGTACACACTGTCTAGACAAGGTGGTGGTCCCCCCATAAAATATGACAGTACACATCATTTGTGCCAGTGGGTTAAGACAAAATGTTCCATGTCATCGTTCGGCAAAACATCTAGCAACTGTATTAATTATGACAAGAGGAAAGGAGTAAGCAACATGCTGACATATATAGGGGCACAAAGCATGTGTTAGGAGGACTTTCCCTCAGCAGAGGTGAATTCATTTCCAGTGTGTGGCTTGTTTTTCACAAGTTTTTGTTCCTAAATGGTCTTATGGTAAAGACTGTGGAGAAGATCACCAGGACTCCACTGCCCTCTCTGCAGAGCATTTGACACCACAGGGTGTGTAGGAAGGCTGTCTCCATCCTCAAAGATCCCACCCACCTCCAGCACGGACTGTTCTTACCCCTGCCCTCCGGTCAGAGGCTCAGAAGTGTGAAATGCAGGACCACTAGACTGAAAAACTCTTTCTTTCCAACTGCCATCAGACTCCTAAAGAGCTGACTCAGGATCTACCTCATGTAATTCCATCTGTACCGTTTACATACTCATTTTGCACATGCATAATTGCACACTCACTGCTGTGTATTTACACTCCATGGCTTCCACGTAGCATATATTCTCTCTGCATTATATTTTGTTGTTATTGTATTTTTATTTGCTTCCTTCACTTGATGCTATAAAGTGACTTAGATTTGTGTTACTGCCTATGTAGATTTGTGTTATTGCTGATCCACTTTATATTTCACTTGTATTGCGTAGCATTCATGTGGACGGCAAAGAATTTCATTGTACAGGGAAACACATTTCCTAACTGTGCATATGACAAACACTTTGACCTAAGAGTGCATCCCTAACGCATCCATAGAAATTGCATGAACGACATAAGACAGGGGATTGAAGACTGAATCTTCCAACAAGGTAAAGAAGAACTTCAAAGATAAGGAAATAATGTGGATGTCTGACCTGGAAACGCCGGGAATCAACCCGCTAATCATCCAGTTAGGAGACGACCCGCTCTGCCTCCTGGGCCACAGCTGCCCCATTAATGTAAATGTATCCAAACTTTCACACTATTCAGCCATTCACCCATTCATACACTGGTGACATCACCGGGAGCAAAGTGTCTTGCTCAAGGACACGTTGAGATGTAGACTGGAGAAGCCGGGAATCAAACCGCTAATCATCCAGTTAGGAGACGACCCGCTCTGCCTCCTGGGCCACAGCTGCCCCATTAATGTAAATGTAGTTTTGGTGCCTAAACACAACCAAGTGTGGCAAAATGTAATGATGATTTTATAGCCATCATGTTTACGGGGGTTTCTATGACGACAAAGGTCTGTA